TAGTAATTATGGCAGCAAAACCGAAACGATGAATTCCGGTAACCAAAGTCGAAAATCTAACAATGGTTTTGACTTTGTATTTCTATCTTTCCAAATGCATGTATGATTCTGAACGTATTTCTATAAATAAAAAGGCGTCCACAAAAGGCAACAGACCCAAAAATACAAACAAAATTCAGAACAGTTTAATGCATTTTAGTAGCGTAAGAAAAATGTCAGCTACGGCTGGTACGGTGATTTGTTGCAAATGTACTAAACAGGATTGTCTTTTCCTTTTCTTTTTTTGTTTTTTTCATGCAATTGTTTTGTTATTTAAATTGTATTAAATCATAAAATAATTATTTTATATAAGTAGTATTATAAAGATAATTTTTTAATATTATATTTTGATATAACTTTTATATATTATTAAATAAGTAAATGTATTTAATATTATGAATTTTATATAAATAAAAAAAATCAACTATAACACGTTAAATTATATCAAAAAATAATATAAAAAATTATCTTATAATTATTTTTTATTTGATAATTTAAATTATATTGAATTATAAAATAACGTATTTTTATTCTGTTATGAGAGAAAGGGATTGGTTTGTTCTTAATTTTGGGTAGATGTCGTGGCATGGAAGGCCGGGAGCCACTGGTGATAGAAGAGGTATAGGTGGCGCCGCAACAGGCTAATGAAGTTCGTTTGAAGATTCTTTTCACTGCTTTATGCTACACTGATGTTTACTTCTGGGAGGCAAAAGGTAACAACATACCATCAAAGATCAACAAATTTCAAGGAAGCTTAATTTGCAGAATTTGAGTTAATTGGTTTAATTATGCTAATGGGTTTTGTCTTCATTATATGCTTCCAGGGCCAGAACCCATTATTTCCTAGAATCTTTGGGCAGGAGGCAGCAGGGTGAGTTTGCATTTCATCATTCCTGGAAGAATTCTTGATTTTGTCAAGGGAGAATTGCAATGATCATGCTAATTGATTAAATTAATGTATACTTTGATTGGATGAATTGGATTGTGTTAAGTGTTGGTGAAGGTGTGACAGAGCTGAAGCCAGGGGACCATGTCCTCCCTGTGTTCACCGGAGAATGCAAGGAATGTGCTCACTGTAAATCACAAGAGAGCGACATGTGTGATCTGCTCAGAGTCAATACTGACGTGACACAGGTGTAATGATCAATGATGGAAAATCAAGATTCCCCATTAATGGCAAACCCATTCACCATTTTGTTGGGACTTCCACCTTCAGTGAGTACACCATGGTTCATGTTGGTTATCTTGCCAAGATCAAATCCCTTGGCTCCTCTTGACAAAGTCTGCGTTCTCATTTGTGGGATTTCAACAGGTATGCAGACTTCACATTTTTTTCTTTTGCTACTGATTTTGGATTGTTGGTTAGTAATTGAAGTTTACTTTGTTTAGGTCTTGGTGCCACTCTTAATGTTGCAAAACCCACAAAGAGTTCCACCGTTGCTGTCTTTGGATTGGGAGCCGTAGGCCTTGCTGTGAGCATCTCCCTCTACCCCACCCTTCTTTGTCTACTTTAGAATCAGAGTGGAAACAAGTCGAGCTTGCTACAGAGTTATTCAAGTTCAAATTGACTCGTTTGTTTAATGAGCTTGGCTCAAGTGCTAGACAAGCCATGTTTACTTGTGCTTCCACTCCTAACTAGCATTTCTCAAATTTTTGAGATCAGAATTCAGAAACTAGTTTCATTTATTTATTCTTTGTGTGATTAGGCTGCTGAAGGAGCAAGAATTGCTCGGGCTTCAAGGATCATTGGTGTTGATGTGGACCCAAGTAGATTTGAAGAAGGTAATTATGGAGACACTACTTCTCATAGCAAAGTAATAGAGCTTCAAATTGCTTTGTTATTGAGATTTTTTTACTCTACTTTTCCATCTAGAAAGTTCGGTGTGACTGAGTTTGTGAACCCAGAAGACCACAAAAAACCTGTTCAGGTGGGATGTCACTAAGCCAAATTCTTAAAATGTCAATATCAGTATCTGAAAATGTCCTGAAGAACAAGCATTCTTTGCTCACTAGGTGCTCATGGAGATGACCAATGGAGGAGTTGACAGAAGCGCTGAATGTAATGGGAATATCGATGCCATGATTTCAGCATTTGAATGTGTCCATGATGTATGATATCTTATTCTTCGTTTTTGTTTCCCCCTCTTCTTAATTTGCAAAATTCTTCCTCAGTTTCCCCCTTACCATGAATACAGGGTTGGGAGGTTGCTGTTCTTGTGGGGGTTCCACACAAAGATGCTGTGTTCAAGACTCGCCCAATAAACGTACTTAACGAAAGGATTCTCAAGGGAACCTTCTTTGGAAACCACAAACTCCATACTGATCTTCCATTGGTGGTGGAGAAATACATGAACAAGGTGGAGCAAAATTCAAGTGTTCCGTGTATATAACTATTCAATCTTTCAATGCATTACTATTCAAATCCATGTTTACTGTTGCAGGAACTCGAACTAGAAAAGTTGATCACCCACTCTACTACATTCTCGGAGATGAACAAGGCTTTTGAGTACATGCTTAAGGGTGAGAGCCTTCGATGCACCATCCCCATGGAAGAGTAACATTTGAATAAGCTCTTCAAATGAGGCTTCAAGCTCCCCTTCTTGCTGGTGTCTGTTCCATATGCAAAGTTTCAGAGGCTTTATTCCAGTTTGTACAGTAGCGTAAATGCTCTTCATCATGGAATGTCATTGTTCTATCCGAAGTTTCAAAAGCTATATTCTAGTTTGTGAAAAAAAAATACAAATATACATGAATAAAAATGTTTTATTTCCCAATATCTAGTTGTGACCATTAGATATCAAGAATGTTTGTATCGGTTTTCCTTACTACCCTGTTATAAATCTACTCTCTTCAGTACTTTAAAGCCTCTATGAAAGGAGATGAAACCCTAAAAAGTATAAAATAGCAAGTTAGCATGACCTCTTTCGGTCATCTTTCAATAAGGCTAAAAGAACATTGTGAATACAGGAGACCCACCTAGAAGGATGCTCTCAAAATTTGATAATAATAATAATAATAATAATGAAAGAAATAATATACAATGTGAATTTTAATTTTATTGCAATTTCATCATGGTAGTTTTGCCAGTATAACCAAATCCAAAATCTTGACATCAAGACTGTCATCCATCCTAACAATTCCGTCTGTGCCATCTACACCAATCAACTTGCCAGTGACTCCGCGTAAAGCACCACCCATGATCTTGATCTTGTCATTTTTCCTTGGTGGTATTATCTCCATTTCATTAGACAGGGCTGTTACTGTTTCGCCATTGCCACTTGATCCCAGGGCCACCTTGCAAGAGCCATCCTGGAAGATGGAGCACCAGTTCTCAGAGCTAGTTTAATGAATAAAAACCAAGTGCTGGGAGCATGGAAGTATAGATAACAAGAAATCTGCTTTGTTAAAACCAAAAACGTTTAGTTTTTGAAAGATAGGAAGGCAATGCTAACCAGCATAGGTTGAAACAAAATATGCAGGCATTAGCTGCCTGCCTCACAAGTTAGTTAGTTACTTACTAACTGCTCAGAGTCTCAGACAACTGATTTTGACACTAGCACAGCAAACAAGGAGGTCTTTGGTCCAACTCTTAATTCACTAGCTGTTGAGTGCAATCACCCCCAAACAACTAGGGAAAATACTCAAATGGGCCAAATCACTAATTTCATTTCCCCTTTCTACTCCCCACTTCTCTCATGAACACACGGTAAGAGGGAGAAAAGAGGTGCACAAAGAGGTGTACCATCTTACAAGTATTAGTGAAATTATAAGCAAAAAGACAAGGACATATCTAATTTCCCCGTTGTGTACATGAATCTATAGTTTGTAACATGCACAAAGATGCATTACTGGAGCAAAGTATCAAACAGCAAACAAATTAATAGAAAACATACCGGTAGCACCTCTTGGATAACTCCCACAGTTTCCTCTCCTGATCTCCGTATGTTAACCAAAATATCTGGCATGAACCACGGTCCATCATTTTCTGCACCTGCAACAAACTGAACATCAGTAAAGGCCAGAAGACAATAAACTCCAGGAACTTAAAATAGTTGATCCAATAAAATTCAACCATAGTTTATTTAGAAGATAACTCATCATCTCCACCCTAAACCTCAAGAAATTCTGGTTAACCCTGTGCTTATGCTTACCAAGTTCCTATCAAATCAAATATTAAAAAATGGATAAATTTATTTCTGGAATCTAGATAATGCTGAATTACTATGAAAGGACAAAATTTACCCCTTAAGATAACTTATAACCCCATAATTAAAAGTCTTAAATAAAGATTGTTAAGTTTGAAGAAGCAAAACTAAAGAGCTTGAAGTAACACCTATTACTGGAGACATAACATCAAGACCACCAGTTCCAGGTGTCATTGGTTGCCCTCCAGGTGTTCCAGGAAGATAGGATGCTGAGCTTGGTGTCATTGGCTGACCACCAGGAGTTGATGGCAAGTAAGGGCTTGGTGCGTTGGCTGCAATAGGTAAACATAATATCAGTTTCCGCTAGACATTAAACAAAGTTAAAACAACAAAGAAACATGTTTATCTCTCATTCACATTTTCTTTGTCCAAAAACATTCATAAAACTCTTGGACCCCCAAGTTAAGAGTATCCTTATTTCAGACAATTCAAAGGATTCAAGCAATAATACATGATCAGGGTTTCCACTTCTTTTGATTTGAAAATTTAGGACACACACGTCTTCATGTCTTAGGACAAGTTTCTGACTTGTGTAATTAAGGGCATATGTAATGATATTTTATTTGTCTCAGTCAAATGCAGCTGACGTGGCAATGTGTTATATGTTTTCAAGTTGTTTTTGCTCCCCAACTTTATCAGTTAAATGTGCCTTAATTACATAAGTGAATTCTATCCACATTGCCAAATTTGAACATGTTCCTGTCCATTTTTGGGGGCATTCATTACTACTGCAACCCATGCAAAAGAAAAAAAAAAGATATTACTACCATAAGCTGAGCCACTATCTCTTGGTGTTCCAGCTTCACTATAACTGCCACTAGGAGTACTTGCCCAACCTGAACCAGGTGTAGGTGCTTCATACGTTCGAGGACTTCCTGGCTGGAAAAGGACATCATGATATTTATTTTCCCATAGGATAAACAAAATATGTCTATACTGCTTCTTCAACCAAATTCTGCAATAACTGCTAACCTGATACTGTGGACTAGTTCCCCAGGAGGCAGGATTCCCCTCTTCCCAGTTGTCCCTATTTTACAGCAGAATAGAAAAGATTCAATAATTCATCATAAGTCAATCCATAGATAATGCATCTAATTTAAAACAATCTGTGCAGGATGAATTCAGATGTAAGACAATAATGTTCATGTTCCAGAAAGAATGGTACAGGTAGAAAAAATTCATGGCCACCGAAATTACAATACATAATAGTTCTCAGACTCATGCCCTCTATCATATTTATGTTAAGGGTATCTTTGGAGAAAATAAATGTAGAATTCAATTATGAATGAATACTAAAGTGAATTAATTTGCAAATAAAAGAAAGAATGGTACAGGTAGAAAAAATTCATGGCCACCGAAATTACAATACATAGTAATTCTCAGACTCATGCCTTCTATCATATTTATGTTAAGGGTATCTTTGGAGAAAATAAATGTAGAATTCAATTATGAATGAATACTAAAGTGAATTAATTTGCAAATAAAAAAAAAAAAATTCCATTTGAAACATGAATTCACTATAAGTTCATTTGTAAATGAATTATATGAATTTTAGTGTTAACTATACAATTCAACTGAATTCTACCAATTTTTTATGTTTGGAACAAGAGAAACCGAATCTTAAGTTTCTTTTCCCTAAAACAACCCTCTTAAATTTATGGGGGGGGGGGGGGGGGGGGGGGGAGGGAGGGAGGGAGTTCTAGCATCTTAGCAATCTAACTAATACCTATTCCTTTGGAAAGTGTGGAATAACACTGGTAATTCTTTCAACTTTGATAGGAACAGAATTAACAATGAGTAGGTCATGCAATTGAAAATCAAGAATCAGAATGAATTTTTTTTGTCATTCAAAACACATTAAATCATAGATTTGGAATTGAATACCATAAAACCTAATCATTCTAAACATCAATATATGGATTTTAGATTAACTTTTCCTTATTGTGCCAAACACAAGAGGTATGGAATTGCACACAAATCCATATATTTAATAATAGTCATTTATACCAAAAACACTTCAAAAGTTCAGTTGCAGTTCAAAAGAAGGAACAAAACAAAAAAAAAAAAAACAGTTTAAAAGAATAAACTAAAAGGATATAATTGAAATCCAACAATGAACCTTGGTGGACTCATTGGTGTGTAAGGATTCCATGCTCGGTCACGCATTGGAGTTCTCATGCCATCGTGTATAGGTGTTGCTGTGAACATTTAAAAAGAGAGTAATTTTTAGTAATATATTAGCACATTGGCAATTAATTACAGAATTTGAAAAACATAACTAGAAATACAGGAGACTAAAGGCAATAAATTTCACCTCCAGGATCTCTCATAGGTGTCATGTATGGATGCAGTGGAGTTCGCGAAGGATGCATTGGAGTTTCACTTCCCATACCATATCGAGACGTATCACTGAAGAAATAAAAGAACATACAAAATCAGATCTACACATGTATATTAAGCATGCTAGGTGATAACAAATAAAGCAAAACAATTTAAGAAATATTTCATGGTTACCGGTAAGGTGTTGAAACAACAACATTATCAGATATGAATTTGCGATCAACTGCACACATAAGCAAGTATTATAAACCATAAAGAACAGAAAGGCAGAAAATGTATCCCAGTATTAACAGAAACTTGCCTGAAACAACCTTCATTTGGGATTCCAACTCAACCCGAACTAATTGACCTTTTATATCCACAACACGTCCACGGTAACCCTTGAAAGGGCCCTGGCGAATTTTTATTGTAGTACCAACTAAAGCATCATGCCCTCCTCTTCCCCCTCTGTGCCTTCCTCCAGCTGTTATGAAGAAGAAAAGGTCAGTTATGGAACTAAAGAAATATATCCATGCATGATTCAACCTAATAAGAATAATAATACCAAGGAGTTTGATGATGATAAAACTTGTACAAACACACGCAATCACCATTGTCAACTTACAATCATTTGGAGGGCCGCCCCTGGAAAATCTACCTGGTGATTGGGGTATACGTGGTGGAGCTTTGAAACTTCCAAATTTTGAGTAAGAATCACCCTAAAATTGAACAAAAAAGAAGCCAGACCAATAAGTAAGGTAAACAAAGGTAAATCAGCCATAAATAGAAACAAAGGAAAAGAACTCACATTTCTATCACCATTGGCACGTGAAGCTCCGATAATACAACAAAAATTGGATTTAGCACATATGAAACCAGCATGCTCAAGGTGATGTCGATCATAAATGAACAAGACTCCCTTGTATATATGTTCTACGGGGCCTTGCTTGCCCTGATATTACATAAAGGACAACCATATCTAACATATTCAATCAAATCCAACTAGAAAGTGGAAAAAAGAAGAATCTCACCTTGCAAGGACCCTCAAGGATCTTAACGATATCTTTCACAGAGACAGTATTCCTATATTTGTCTTGCACGTTAAACTTTTTATCTATCTTACATTTGATCTCCCTCAATTTGACCAGAGAAACATCTGGCCTCTCTGGAACTCCCTTAAGAACCTAAAGTGAGAGATGATGTTAAAAATGTACATAAAGGAAAAAGGGTTCATTTAGCCATTTTGATGAGAATGCCTGGCTGACCTGAAATGCTTCACTCTCTACACGTATAATTACACCAAAGCTATTGTTACTGCACCATATAGAGCAAATATGTCAGAACCCCAAGAACAATGTATTCTAGCAGTCTTTCCAACAAAGAACTACTTACTCTAACAGCACAAGATCGTGAAGCTCATAATCTCCAATCTTTGTTACACCAGTTGTTACCTCAGAGCTTTCCACAACATCATCAGCAAAAACACGGATCTGATGAAAAAAATATTTGAAATTAATCTTAATATTTCTTCACTAGGATATTCCTATTCAGAGTCTTCTATAAAAACTGAGAGTTATTATCACTTACATGTTCCTTTGTGGTGTCAGACAAAATAATGAGCACATGTTGCTCAACCTTGACAACCATACCAGTTGCCCCTTCCTTTGTCCCAGAGACAACCTTCACATGATTTCCAGGTTCAAAGTACTTGCAGAGCTCCTTTTCATTGACAGCAAGTGTTTTCTGCAAAGTATTATCCATGGCCAAGTACAATGAATTAGAAAAAATACTAGCACAAACTGTTAACATAATATATATATATATATATATAATCACAATATTTAATAAATTCATACAGGAAGGCCCTTCATTTCTGGTCTGATGTGGACATTCTCTTCCTCAACCTTTTCAACCCAGCCCTTCAAATTCTTCAGATCCCCCTTGATAACTATAACTGGGTCACCCTTCATGAAATGGCCCTTCTTTCTATTTGCAAATAAAGTTGACAAACTAGCTACATCACCATCTCCATTGTCACCAGGCTTTCGAAATTTTTCAAGTTCATCAAAAGTAGGTTTTATATTTTGAACACTGATGGATTTCATGGATACTGTTTTATACAGGAAACCATCTTTAAAATACATCCCACCAATATTCTCAAAGTATTCACCAGTCATTGGATCTCGCCTACGTTCTACACGAATATTAAGTTCCCTGGAAACACAAAAATGAAGGCAAATGAAGTGAGATTTAGTGGTGCAAACAAATGCAAAAGAATTACTTTGGAACTAAAAGTCAACATAACTGAGGGCCTCTACCTAGCTTCGTCAATATTCATAAATCGAGGAGGCGGCACAAATGCCTTCTTCTTTGGAACTTCTCTCCCTTCCTGTATCAAAAACAAATCTTCTTTTAATTGGCAGATATGTAAAAAGCATAGGTCCCAGAATGACCCCTTTCATAGTGTCCATGATGTAGAAACCTTGAGTATCATTATCCAATCAAGCTTCTAGATGCATCTAGAGGATGAAAGCAACTTTTCTATTGTTAGCCTTAGCTATTATATTTAACCAGCATAGGACAAGAACCAAGGAAGTATATGTAATAACCTACCAATTTATTTGCAAGAGCCTGCAAGTCAATCCTTGGGATTAATTTCACCGTAACTTTCTGCCGTACATTATCCACATCAACTACCTATCAAGCACAATTTGAAAGTAAGATGACAGATTTTGAAAACATGAAACATTAAACATGAAAAGCACAAGTACATGAATCTTACTTTAGCAAGATCACCCTTGTATGTTCCAATCTTCATTCTGACCCAGGTATCTCTAGACAGATCAATCGCTTTACTTTCAACTGAAAGAACATCAGTCATTTCTTTTATTGGAACAAGCATAATTTTCGTACCAAATATGTTACGCAGACCCTTGCAAGCCTGAAATAGATGGAACTAAGTAAGTAAAAACATGTCCACGCATTGAAAACCAGCCTGCTCATCAAAGATCACTATAAGGCAGCAACAATAATAACATACCTCTCTCACATGGGCTTCCTTGTCTGCTTCAATATAAATGTAGTTTTTGAGGTGATCAAGGGCGATAGCTGATCTGATTTGTAATTCAGATCCTCTGTCAATACACTTTTGCATCAGGCAGACAGCTGTCTCGCGTTCACGTCCAATCTGAAATGCATAAACACATTAGTAAAACTCCATCATGCATCATAAAAACATTAAAGCGTCAACCAAAAGAAATCTATGAAGTAAAGTTGCAAAGGGACTTATGAATTGCAAGCATACCGCACATTTCACCATCCACAGCTTTGGATCCCTTACTGAAGGCAACAGGGCTTGCTGATCTACTTCAGTGGTCTCCTCATCATACTCTGCATGACTTGATCTGGCATATCTTGCCTGAATTCTTCTCTCAAGAGCTTCAACATCCTCCTGTTCATCCTCGCGGGGCAGTAATGGACGGCGATGCATCCTTCTACCATCATCATCATCCGGTACATCAGCACCACCATCAACTATGAAATCTGCATGTATAATTGCCTCTTATTCAATCAAATTACCCAACCATACCCTCATAATCACCAGATTTTAAGCAAAAATGAACCCAAACTAACAAGTGCTATGTCAAAATAACTCACCAGTTCTCCACCTTTACAGAATAAAATGTCAGTGCCTAGTGCCTAGATAAGCACTACTTACTTAAAACTTAAAAGTTGAAGAGAGGAAAAAAAACAAAAGCAGCAAACTTTGTGTTGTCTACCATAAACGCACTTAATTAATCCATTACAGGAACAGAAAACAGGTTAATGCTATGCCACTAATCCAAAATTTTTCAGTTTTGAGCACATGATGAACATATTAAGAGTAACATCCTAATAAAACTCATGACTTTGATACCGTATCCCGATAGCATCATGAAAACATTGCATTTAGCATTGCAGACAAATAAACACAATTTGGGATAACCTAAAAACCCTTGCAGATGTTACAACAGTATAGAACACAATCTATCACTTCATTTCTCCTAGATAAAGGATTTCCATCTCACAAGGCAACCAATCATACTAAAATTAAACCTCAATCAATCTCAAATATATCGTTTAAGCATAAGAATTTTATTACCGTCTTCTCCCTCCTCTTCTTCCTCTTCCTCATCGCTATCCACCTGTGCCTCAAGATCAAAAAATTGAGAAGCCCGGCGCTTAGGCTTCTGCCGTCTCCCCCCAAAATCTTCATCATCGTCGTCTTCTTCCTCCTCCTCGTCTTCCTCCGCAACATCGTCAATGAAATTTGATCTTCCGCGCTTCCTGCTCGACCTACCTCTCTCCTCCTCCTCTTCTTCATCCTCTTCCTCGTCGTCCATCACCTGCTCTTCTTCGTAGTCTTCATCTTCAAACTCATCGTCTTCATCATCTCTCCGTCTTGCCATCGCTGTAGGGGTTTGTCTATCGATGGAGCAGGGCGCTGTCTGTCCTTCGATTTGAGAAACAGAAATGTTGATAACAGGCTAAATTACCTTTTAGTCCCAAACTTTTAAATAGGTTGCAACTTGGTCGGTTCCACTTTCGGAGAATTTGCGCCGACCGACCGAAGCTACTCTGGTCTGGTTCTCTTCTGCCCGGACTTTGGTCCAAATTGGACCGACTTCTTTTAAACAACCACCAATGAATGGATAGGTTGATCTCAATAACCGGTTAACCAAATCGATTATATTCAGTAACTTTGGTGTTAGAGTATGGACAATGGTGCTCTATTTGGTTTTTTTATTTTTCTTAAAATATAACAGAAATAGAGTTTACTTTATTGAAACAATTCTCAAAATTAAATTTTATTCTATATATCGAGACAACTCAATTAAAGTTTGTTAGGTTCAAAAAAACCAAAACAACATCATTTTCACCCTTTTTTTGCTAAAATTTTTTACTAGCTTGACAAGTATGTTAGGCGTATGAGAAGCATGTCAACTACTTTGCACACTAACTGTTGAATCTAATGGCTTAGGTCTTTCCTTTAAAAAAAAAATTAATTCAAAATTTTTTATTTAAATATATAAAATATGAGTAGAATAAATAATAATTTTGTGATTTTTAAAAATTTTTTATTTAAGAATATGCATTGAAGGGGATATGTTTTATTATATATTCTATTTAAGCTTAAATATATAAAAATGTGAATTTATATAAAATAATATTAATTATGATAACATGGCACTAAAGTAAACTTTTTTATTGTTCTTGATTGTACATATTCGAAGTCTTGTTTTCATAGAACTAATAAGAGTTTGCAAAATAGACAGTTATTAATTTAAAAACTTTTATTTAGAATTAAGATAGAAATTCAAATATTTGTACCTTAAGTCGTTAACTCTTGATATAAAAAGTGAAAAAAAAAAAAAAAAAACTC